CCCCGAATTACACTTGTAGGTGGAGCAGGTGCGCAGGATTCGTGGTGAGCTTAACGCCGCCAAATCCGCAGGACCAGATGGCATCCACCCAGCCTTAGTGAAACACGTAGCTGAGGCTCTAGGGGCCCACTATGCCGCCTGTTCAACAAAACTCTAGAACAGGGCAGGATACCACAGAACTGGAAAACAGTAACTGTGGTCGCCGGACACAAGGGAGGGCCGAGACACCAGGTAGAAAACTACCGTCCAGTGAGTCTCACAAGCATCTTGTGCAGAGCGCTTGAGAGAAGTATCAGAACCCACTTATGCGAATACCTCACTCAGCACCGCCTGCTGATTGCGGCACAGCATGGGTTTCTGAATCTGAAAATCGTGTCTGAACAATCTCTTGCACCTTTTAGATGAAGTCACAGCGAGATTAGACGAGGGTAAGCAAGTGGAAGTATGCCATCTGGACTTTATAAAAGCACTTGACTCTGTATGTCATCGCTTACTTTTGGTCAAGATACATGCTTAAGCGATAAGTGGTATTATCCACAAGTGGCAAATAGTTTTCTTGGCCGGTAGGACCATCCTGGTTCGGGTCGGAGAAGGGAACTCGCCAATGAAAAATATTGCCAGTGATGTTCCTCAGGGATCAGTTCTAGATCCACTCCTATTCTTGCTCTACATCAATGATCTGCCTGAACGCCTAGGCTCGCCTGGCTATATTTTCGCGGATGACGTCAAGGTAGTAGGATCAAATGGGAGAGAGGAATTAGCGAGGGACATAGGAGAAGTGCTCAGGTGGTCAAATACATGGAATCTGCCTGTCAACATAGGCAAGAGTCATACCTTGACCACTGGGGACGCGGAGCTGATAGTGGGGAGTAGTCATGGCCGTATTTCACTAGGAACGACACAGAAAGCTAGAGATTTAGGAATGATAGTCACAGCAGACTACAACGGGGCAGAACAGTGTGCCGCAGCGGATCACCGTGCCCGTCGAGAGCTTTTCAGATTGAGGTCGGCCCTAACATGTAGAAAACCGGAGGTATTCTCACCACTATACAATCCATTATTCGACCGCATTTGGAGTATTGTATACAAGCCTGGGCTCCCTTCTTCAAAAAGAACGCCGCTTGTCTTGAGGGGTTCCAACGATTAGCCACAAGGATGATCAAAGGACAGCAAGGGCAGTGGTATAAGCAAAGACTGCAGGACCTTTGGCTCTTCTCCTTCGCGAGAAGAAGACACAGAGGTGACTTGATTGAGATATTCAAAATTAAAAATGTCCTATCAGGGACGGATCAAGCAGTGTTCTTCGAGAGGAAAGAAAGCCATACTAGGGGACACATGCATAAGCTAAAGAAAGTATGCACGAAACTAGCGGTGCGTCTGTAGTGACCGTGATTGTACGAAGAAAAGGACCAATCCACAACGAGGTTTTCCGTTCATATTTTCTTCACAATTAACGCTGACTCTAACTGTGATATCTCTCTGCTTTACTTCTGCTCGTTTACTGCGCACGGTTTTCCTCTCAGGGGTATACAAAAGAGGGGTCCTGTTCAAACCCACGCAACACATGTGACACGCTTTCCGTTTGCTACTGCGTTCATTGCTTGCATTGTTTAGCGTCACCTCGGCACATTTTGGTACTATCTAGTACCACGATTCGCCAACAAACGTTTACGACTCCCACGAGTGTTTTTGTCTACCCCGGGCAACGAGACACTAGGAGGTCCGTGCGCACTTTGAGACTCGTAAGAAGACTAACCGGCAGGCCGCCAACTCCGGTTAGCTTCATTGGTGAGCCCGCATCCTCTACTTTGTAAGTCAAATCCAATTTGGTTTGCACCTTTTACTCACGATTCATTTTTATTTGCACGATATAATTATTTATCGCATTTGTACGATGGTCGAGGAGCGTCCGCTAGTGAACGATAGGAAACTGGACCTTTTGGCTATTAGTTTTAAGCCAGTAACCTTTATCCCTCACGACTCTGAAATGTGGTTTGCTGCGTTAGAAAAGCAGTTTATCGCTTGTAACGTGCGGAGCCAGCGCTCAAAATACGTTTACGCGGTAGAGGCAATCCCTGGCGACCGAATATCCACCATTAGGGATATTATTCCTAAACCACCGGAGACGAACGCGTACGACGTTCTGAAGGATACTATTCTTCAGTTCTACGCCCCCTCTAACGAGGAAAGGTTACGCCAGTTGCTGGCTCGTCACCCGATTGGTGATTCGACGCCAAGCAGGCATCTGGCGCGTCTGCGCACGTTAGCCGGCCCAGAAAACGCCCACTCTTACATCTCCAGAGAGCTGCGACTCGAGTCGTTGCCACGTCACGTTCAACCGACGGTAACGGCTCTGCTGGAGGACTCCTAATAGACAAAGCTGCGTTGATTGCCGATAAGATAGTCGCACGTGTCGGTAATGGGGATAAGTTCCCCATTACCACGAGGTCGCAAACTTATGGGAGAAATAGGCATAAGTATGCGGTACGGCCTCCACAGTCACGACCACATTGCATACACTAGCGCTTGTTCTTCAAGGACAGAGTCCCGGTGCCCACAGCGAATCCCTATAGGGCTAAGCCTAGGTTGAAATGAGCAGCACAGCCTGCCCACGTTCGCCAAACGCAACCAAAAGCTCAGAAGCCACCCTCGAGCAAACCACCCAAAGCCCCGAGGGTTACTGCTAGTTCCATCGTAGCTATGGACCAAGAGCTCGCAGTTGCAGGAAGCGCTGCACCAACGCAACGGGAAATGGGTAAACCGGCGATTAAAACCGGCCGTACTCGCCGGCCCGCCTTCCCAGGTTGGCCGTCTGTTCCTCGTATGTGACCATCTCACAAACGCTAGGTTCCTTGTACATACGGGAGCCCAAGTATCAGACTTCCTATCGGTAGCAGCAAGCCACGAGCCACGACTCTTCGACTATGCGCTGCAAACGGCCCTCCCATTCCTACCTTTGAAAGAAGACAACTCACGGTCCACCTGGGAGGGCAACGACGGTATCCATGGACGTTCATGCTTGCGAATGTTCCCACTGGAATACTGGGTATCAATTTTTTGCAGTACTATGAATTGCTTGTCGATTCACGTAGACTGCAGTTGATCAATCCAGCGTGAATATCAAAGTGACGGGTCTCAAAGCCCGAACAAACGTTTACCGAATCACGGGTGTAATGCCTGATATCCCAGTGGATTTCCAGACAATGATCGCCCGATTCCCCACGTTGATTGAACCTTATGAGGACTTAACACTAATGACTGACCGTGTTGCACACTACATGGCCACTAAGGGTCCACCAGCCAAGGTACGACCACGCCGAATGGCACCGGACAAATTAGCTTTTGCTA